TGAGCTATCCTAAACTCTAATCTCTTTGTGGTGTGACTGTATTATTGACAATTCTGTATCTCCAAAGGATTGAACATCATCTGTCCTACATCTCCATCCATTTCCATCATCTTTCCCTGGTTAGAATTTCTTTGGCACCAGCCTCTGAGATTTTCCAGTATCATGGTCTAATCATGCAACATTAAAATGTTAGTTAATGCATATTAACATTTGATACAAGTACATAGAATTCTGAAATAATTTCATGTCCAAGGAAAAGTACCTTGTAAACGGAGCCAAAACCGCCATATCCAAGCTCGTAGGAGAAATTCTCTGTGGCTGCTAATATGATGTCTATGTCGAAGACTGGTAGGTATTGACTTGTTCCACTTCCACCAACTTCCTTTTCACTTAGAGAGACATTGAGGCTTGTAGGGATATTGAAGGGAAATTTGAGTTGTCTGCCCTTAGCTGTGTTTTTCGTTGAAAGAACTCAATAATCAGCTTTTAAAAGTACTAACAAGTGCTAATGTTGATTACACACTGCAAATTGAAGACTATCATCTCCTATATGCATAGACTTAAAGTTGGAATTCTTTAGTTCAACTAATTTGATGCCACTTATATTGGTAACAAAGTTGAAAAAATAATCTCTTACCCATCTTCTTCCATTTTATCAACCAGAATGAGAACATAATGACAAAGAAAACCGCAGCAGCTATAGAGAGTACCAAGCCGGCTAACATCCCTTTTTTTGCAAGAAAACCTCTAGATTTCTTGTCATATTGAGCTGGAGAAAGAAAGAAATCCACATTAGTTCGATGCCAAATCATCAGGATTATCAGTAACGGTGCATATTGCAGAAAGATAGTAGGTGAGTGCAGGGGAGGGCTTAGCCAGATTAGAAATGTCTATGGTACTTCCGCTGTACTTGAACACCTAATTTTTATTTCAGATGTCTGTATTTTTGTTCTGAAAATCCTGTATCTAAGAAGTATTGAAGATTAAGCTGTTTTTGAACAATGCAGCAAAGATATATAATGACAATAAGATTTGAAGGTACCTAACTCAAACGCATCCACACGGACATATAAATCCTGTCCTCCCTCAGCGAACACTCTTGTATCAAGCAAATTGCCATACCATGAGAAGCACCCACTCTTACTTGTCACAACTGAACTTGCGTAGGCTGTGCAGGAACAATTCCTCAAGCATTGCTCCATGCAAGCTTTCAGATCCAAATTGTTATCCACACGGGCAGTTGAAGGATCTGGTACCTTCACGTTTTCCACCTTGACGAACCCTTCACCATTGTTGCACATTCCTGTGAGATTCTTCTGGATGCATCCACCTGACCCATCTCTGAGGTACCATTCACTAATTGATTTGGGCTGGTAGCCAGGGAGGCATGTACACTCTAAGTTATAAGCATCGTAAGGATCACACTTACCATAAGCTCCACATCGTCCATAATTGTCACACTGGTCAGCAGGTGCGGACCAAAATACATCCCATTTAGCAATTTGTTCATGCCATGTGAACCGTTGGACTGATCCAGGCTCGTCTACAACTAATCGCGAGAAGATTGATCTGTTGCGAACACCCCACGTTATGCTTAACTCATCATCATTATTCACAAAGCTGATGTTGAAGTTAATGCGAACCTGCAATATGGGTACACCAGTCCATCTAAGTCCATTCCAGTGACCGGACCTCCACCTTGGAATCTGACCCTCGTACAAGAACAACTGTGGAGACCCATTAGGATTGAGCCGAAAAGACCAACTACCAGTACCAGGGTCATCAGGAGATTTCCAGGCTGTCAGGAACCGGTTCAGACCAGTCCTGCGGTCTAAGCCAAGTTTTAAGTTTGGCAGCATAGTATGTGAAGGATAATCAAAGCTTTGCCATATCATGGCCCCTGTGCTATCAAGCAAAACGAGGTTTCCAGAATCTAATAACTGAGCCGTAGAATTTCCTTGGTTTTTTGAGGAAACTGTAACATTTGTGAACCATAGGGGATTGTCTTGGTTTTGGCTATGAAGAACAAGTTTACCTTCATTGGTGATTGAGAGGACTCCAGAGGAATCATTGATAGGACTATCTCTGTTTGCTACCCACACAACATTTTTTTCTGAAATTTTGTTGTACCAAATTCCAAGATATCGGTAGTTGGATTTTCCAGGACGGAAGAATCCAAGCGCGAAGAACTCCCCACTGGAAACTATAACATCTCCATCTTTAACAGATTGGTTCACACTTATAGTATCCAGGGAAGTGCTAAACTGGATAAGAAAGCAATGAAAGAGTGTAATAAAAAACTCCTTTGGAAGAATCATGGTTTCCACACAAACTTTCTTGATATTGGTATTGGGGTTTGCCTGTACTCAACAACCCTGATGATAATAAGCTCCTAAGCACAAAATAAGATATGAAAGCGAAGTCAGGGAAGTTGAAATGTTGTTGTACGTGTGGGAAGACTTTGACAAGTTCAAGTCGTATTGGCCAAGTCATGGACAATATGTTTTACCTCAAGTGTTCAAACTAGCTGCCTTTTCCCCTAGTAAGCCTAAAAAAATAGCTATGGCGGCAGATAATTAAGAGGAGGAGATTTGAATATTCAGCAATGTCCTGTGCGATTCCACACAGAGTGTTTCTGATGAATTATTCCACTTAGTTTTATAACGCTAGTCAAAGAATACTATGTGTTTCTGAATATACTAATGCTCTTGATGATCTTCCCATATTATATGATTTGTATCGTGCTTGTTTGACTGTACTTCAGGCCTCAAAGATGTAAAACTTTAATATTTGGACTGTCAATGTCTCATTCAACTCAATTGTGCTCAATACTCTTCTTGTTTTCCTAGTTTGACATTGGTGTTAAAATATCGTAATTTTTCTTATGATTTGTGACTGAATAGATTTTTGTCACAAGAATCTGTCATTGAAGTCACACAACTAGAATTTTTTATTTGTGGTAAAAGAAAATGTCATAGACTTAGTGCTTGTCTGGTATGAAAATAATTTTCAGCTATTGAAAGGTCTGCAAGCATGTCCAGCATTCCGACAACGACGTTAAGGATGACTACCTGAAGGTAAAATCAAAACATTAAACCATGCGCATTGTGATGTTTTAAAAGAGATAGGAAAAGGCAACAAAGTTATTGGAGGCTTAAAAATGAGTATTAATA